GCTGGGACCCCAACAGAGCCTATTTATCCCCCGTGTAATTTTCCGGGGAAGCTGTCAAGCTCTTCGCATCTGCATCTTTTGCGACGATTATCCGAGCCGCCGCATCTGTCTTTGGGACTTGGAGGGCGTCGTTTCCAACCTCTTAGCTTGTTGCTCCTGTTCCTGGGAAAAAGCGTTGATGGCCCGTGATTGCCTGCTCGAGTTTAATTATCCTCCAGTGCATTTTTTTTCCTGGAAAAATTTGCTTGAGGTTAAAGTGTACTGGAGCTTCTGTCGTTGTCTGTAAAGTGCCTCTCCCCGTTTAGGGAAGTGGGCCGGTGAGTCGTAGGTATGGTGGTGGACTTAGGGAGCCGACTTAGGGAGACCCTGTAGAGTTTTCAAGGCAAGGGATGAACAGAGGGGGTTTGCCATTGCCTGCCTCTGCATAGCAACCGTGGGCTTCCTTGGTGGTCTCCCATTCAAGTACTAAGCAGGGGTGACCTTGCTTAGCTTCTGAGATCTGATAAGATCAAGCTAGCCTGAGCCATCCAGGACAGGGCAGAGACAAACAGAGGTGGTTTGCCATTGCCTGCCTCTGCATAGCAACCCTGGGCTACCCTGGTGGTCTCCCATCCAGGTACTAACCACAGCTGACCTTGCTTAACCTTCTGATGATATCAAGTTAGCCTGGCCCGCCCAAGTCAGGGCAAAAGATGAACAGAGGTGGTTTGTCATAGCCTGCCTCTGCGTATCAACCCTGGGCTTCCTTGTTGGTCTCTCATCCAAGTACTATGCAGGGGTGACCCTGCTTCTGAGTTCTGGTAGGATCAAGCTAGCCTGGCCCATCCAGGTCAGGGCGGAGACAAACAGAGGTGGTTTGCCATGGCCTGCCTCTGCGTAGCAACCCTGGGCTTCCTTGGTGGTCTCCCATCCAGGTACTAACCAGAGCTGAGCTGACCGGGCTTAACTTCTGATGATATCAGGTTAGCGTGGCCCACCCAAGTAAGAGCAAGAGATGGTGGTTTGCCATTGCCTGCCTCTGCGTAGCAACCCTGGGCTTCCTTGGTGGTCTCCCATCCAAGGACTAACCAGGGCTGATCCTGCTTAGCTTCTTAGGGTGACCCTGTAGGGTTTTTCAAGGCAAGAGATGAACAGAGGTGGTTTGCCATTGCCTGCCTCTGCGTAGCAACCCTGGACTTCCTCGGTAGACAACCCCGGACCTCCCCTCCCCAGACTCCACATTCCCCAGGCTCTAACTCACAAATCTCTAAGTATTTCCCAACCTGGAGTTGGCAACCTCGATTTAGAACTAGACCACTCCTCGAAAAGTTTGAGAACCACCGGCTTAACTAGTTAGTTGATGGATAATCGCAGAGGGACGCATTAACGAGCGGCACTCTGAGTGAGTCACGCCTCTTCAGTTTTTGAGATGATGATGAAAAGATGAGAAAGACAGTCTTAGCATGGCCTTTCCTACTGCAGCTTTTCTTGAAGGTTATATTTTACATTCCACAGGGTCTCAAGAAAAGGTCACCTATACTAAGACGTTGCTAGCCTGCAGATCTATTTCAAGTTAATTGATGAACAGGTCAAAATTGAGCAACAACAACAACAAAAACCCTTTAATAGTCTGATAGTTCTTCTATACATATCTCGCCACACTTCCCCCCCTCCCAAGTACTGTGTTAAAGAACATTATTACTATGTCAATTCCAAGAATCCCAGTGCATTTCGATGTCAGCCCCAAGAATCCCAGGGCATTTCTATGTCAGTCCTGAGAATCCCAGGGCATTTCTGTGTCCACCCAGTGCATTTCTATGTCAGTCTTGGGAATCCCACTATGTCAGCCCCCCAAATCCCAGCACATACTATGTCAACCCCAAGAATCCCAGTGCATTTCTATGTCAGTCTTGAGAATCCCAATGCATTTCTAAGTCTTGAGAATCCCAGGACATTTCTATGTCAACCCCAAGAATCCGAGTGCATTTCTATGTCAGCCCCAAGAATCCCAGGGCACTTCTATGTCAGCCCCAAGAATCCCAGTGCATTTCTATGTCAGTCCTGAGAATCCCAACCCAACATTTTCTCCCCAAATCCCAGTGCAACGCAAATCAGTATGGCTGGAAAGCTATTTGCTGACCATTTCCACACCCATGAAAAAGAGCAGCCTCATAGAGATGCCTCTTTCTGAAGTTGCTAAGGTTCCTAATCGCCATGGCAACCTCACCTTGGTGCAGGAGATGTGCTAAGTGAACTCCGGGAAGAAAAGCCACATCTCTTTCACATCTGTGAGGTGCTCTGAGACATCCATTTTCGGCAAGAAGAAATGAAGCCAGGTTGGTCTGACCTTGCAAACAACCTTGCAGGATTTAGGAAAACCCAGAATTCCCCTTTCACAGTGTGAAGAATAATAACTCACAGCCTGTAATAAATAACAGCCACTACATATAGGAAATGCCATTCTGGACACCTGCAACTTACAATATGGTCTCAGCTGCCCTGGAAAACTACATTTCCCAGGGCTTTTTGCTCCTGGGAATCCACTGTTGTGATATTCAAGATGTTGTGAATGATGGTGTCCACATTTAGAGTGAGAGAAAGAGAACCAAACTCTTTCCTGCTGTTTGGGGATAGCTCTTTGTTAGCCAAGCTGCATTCTGAATCAAATTAGAGGGAGTTCATCCATTAGTAAAGACTGTGTTAACCCAGGCGGAAAACATGGAAACAGGATGATCAGAGGATGACCAGCACATGAACAGTCCCAGAAACAGTTTGGCAGTAAGGGAGCCAAAGTGGAGCAAAACGTCTGTATGGAAACACTCTGAATTAAAAATGCACTGATCACAGATTAGGAAGCACATGGAGTTCTAAAAAAATGCCCCATTAAAACCACCCGTGCACGTGCCTGTAAAACCTTTGCTCCTTGCTGACTCTCTCCATATCTGTCCCATTCCGACCTAGTCATGGTGATTCATGCCACAGTCACCTCCCACCTAGACTACTGTAATGTGCTCTATACAGGGCCGCCCTTGAAGGCACTCCAGAAACTACAAGCAATCCAGAATGGAGAGTTTATACCTGTCCTGTCTTGAGACCGCTTCACTGGCTGCTGATTGAATTCCAGATAAAATGCAAGGTGCTGATGAACTCTAAATGATCTGGGACCTTCATACCTGGCAGACCGCCTCTTCTGACATACTCCCCCCCCCCCTGGGGAAATTTGTGTTCTTCAACTCACAACCTGCTTGTGGTGCCTGGCCCCCTGGGACATTTGCCTGGCATCCACCAGGGTGAGGGCCTCCTTTGTGGTGGCCCCATGCTATTGAAACCAGCTCTCTGACAAGGTTTCAGTTTCGCTTCTCTTCGCTTTGCTTCACTGTTCACCTTGTCATGTATTGGGGGGGAGGGGATTCCTGAGGGGGGGGAGTGTGTTGGATGAGTGCTTGCTTGTAGTAGCCATAATTATTAGTCAAGTTGCACCCCTTGGCCGGGTCTCATGAGATTTGGCCTTGGAGACTCTTTTGCTTGGCTAGAATAGATAACAACCATGTATCTGTCAGGGTTGCCATAGAAACGCTAGTGGCCGAATGCTTGTGTATGCATGGGGTGTGGGGGTGCATTGGGTTTTACCTATGACCTCTGAAGTTTGCGTGCTTTCTTCAGTCCTGGCAAAGAACCAGTCCCTATAAGTAAACATATCTTGAATAAAGCTTCACTGCCAAAAGTGTTGCTGAGAGTGTTTTAACTGGGGATCTGACACTCTCAGACAATACACGGGCCCTGCGGGACTTATCTAACTTCTACAGGGCCTGCAGAACAGAGCTTTTCCACTTGGCTTTGAGTTAGCTGGGTTTGTTTCTGTGTGCTGTTATTTTTTTAGTTTTATTGGCATTATGTTTTAGAGTAAGATTGGTTAATGTTTTAACTGTAGTTAGCTTCCTGGAGACCGCCTGGAGGCGAGAAGCGACATAGGCTGCGGTCACACGGAACATTAGCCCCGCTAGAGAGACGGAAGATAGGCGGATTTTCCGGGCGCGATCTCACCACCACATCTGGGAAGCGTACAGCTCCCGTGGCTCACCCGAGGCTTCCCGCCAAAGATGCGGGGTAAAAAACTAGTACCTCCGAGGTACTAGTTTTCGGTAACCGCGGGGCAAGGGCGGGCGTCTGATCGCGTTTCCGGTGGCATCTGGTGCCCGCCCATGCCCCCTTGCAAAAGACCCCCCCCCCCGAGTCTCCATGGATGTGCACAAGTACCCAATGGAGCATGCACATACTTTGGTGTACAGAAAAAAGCAAACCCGTTTGCCGCACCGCGCCGCTTCTTTGCCGCGCCGCAGGATTGTCCTGTGATCGGCACCTCCCCCCTACCCACGGGACCTCCACGGGACGTCTGATCGCGCAACCGCGCGTTATTTTGCCCCAGGGCAAACAGCCATGCCTTCCCCCCCGACGATATCCGGCCCGTGTGACCGTGGCCATAGTAGTGTAATAAATTGTTGAAAGATATTAAAAATACTTAATTACTCAGAGTATTGATGGATCTTTGCTTCACCGGAGAGGAGAGATTTCTTTGCGTTTAAGAAAACTTTATTTCTAAGGGTAAAGGTACACAGGAAACCTAACAAAATAACAAACATATCTAAGAGCTACATGTCTGCATCTTACTGCTGGGAAAGCGTGGTTGCACACTGAAACAGAGAACAATGGAGAATCTGAAACCAGTAACCAATCAGCATTACAGTACAGACCACTTTTCCTGGGCTTTCTCCCCATTGGCTCTGTGCCAGATTTCCCTTCCAGGTCAGTCTAAACAATATCATAGAAGGGTAAATAAGTTAACCCTATAATGGCTGGAACCTGAGACCTTGCAACTCATACATTTCCAACACAAATCATATCTAAATAAATAATAAACGTAACAGTGACTTGAGTTTTGGCGACTGTGTGACACAGAGTGTTGGACTGGGTGGGCCATTGGTCTGATCCAACAGTGTTTCTCCTGTGTTCTTATGACTTACCCTCTCCAGGATTTGGGATGAAACAAACTCTTGGGACTTCAGGAGATGGCCACTTTCGTCAAAATAACTTTCCCACTCCGCTCTGTCGATGGGCATCTTCTTAAGCTTCTGTAAACAGAGTGACAGCTTTGAAGTGAAACAGCATCAAACTTGGAGAGACAAAGCTGGAAACGCTGCCTTGTAAGAGCCCAATCAATTTTTTAATTTTTTTTTTGCAGTTTCAAAATTTTTCAAAAGAAGAGCTTTCCCCATATTACGTTTTTTAAATTTTGGTTTTTAAAATGGACTTGATAGTATATTTAGAAAAGAACCAGTCTTAAGAATATTTTCCTGCAGGTTTCAGTTCCTTTAATTCGCCCTCCAGTTAGAGACACTGGCTTAATATCCCGTACCAACTGGGAGAAGTACTTTGAGCCTGTGACGAAGAGACACATTCCGCTGTCTCTTCCAGACATCCGCCGTAAACAGAGCAGAGTCCCCTTCATGTGGATGTGAATCCTCATTTTTAGTAGTAGAAAAGAGCGAAAGTCCAGTCGCACCTTAAAGACTAATAACATTTGTGGCAGGGGAGGAGCTTTCGTGAGTCACTGCTCACTTCTTCAGATAGTCTTAATGTTATCCGAAGAAGTGAACAATGTCTCATTGCTCTTGCTCTTCTCAACTGCTAAAGGTAAAGGTCTCCCTTGCTTGAAAGCCAGTCAAATCCAACTCTAGGGTGCGGTGCTCATCTCTGTTTCCAAGCCGAAGAGCCAGCGCTGTCCAAAGACGTTTCCGTGGTCATGTGGCCGGCATGACTAGATGCCGAGGTGCACGGACGCTGTTGCCTTCCCACCAAAGCGGTATCTATTTATCTACTTGCAGTGTCTTGCTTTCGAACTGCTAGGATGGCAGGAGCTCACTCCGTCATGCAGCACTTGGGTCTCGAACTGCTGAACTACCGACCTTCCGGTCTTTCAGCATCTTAACCAGTGAGCCACCGCAGCCCTTCTCTACTGCTACAGACAGACTAACACGGCTACCCATCTTGAGCGATCTCCTTATTTTTAGTTATTTACTTTGTTTATATCCCACCTTTATCTCCAGTGGGGACCCAAAGTCATGGTCTTGAGTTTCTGTCTTTCCCATGAATTACTAGTTTTGGTTCTAATCAGCAAGGCCGGGGCTTGAACCTGGGACCTTCTGCATGCAAGGCAGATGCTTTCCCAATCGAGCAACAGCAGTAAAACAGTAAAACAGTAAAAAGGAGCTGCGGTGGCTCAAGTGGTTAAGACGCTGAACTGCAGGCTGTGGAAGGTCAGTAGTTCAGCAGTTCAAGACCTGGGTTGCCGCATGACGGAGTGAGCTCCTGTCTCTAGTTCCAGCTCCTGCCAACCTAGCAGTTCGAAAGCAAGACATTGCAAGTAGATAAATAGGTACCACTTTGGTGGGAAGGTAACAGCGTTCCATGCGCCTTGGTGTTTAGTCATGCCGGCCACATGACCACGAAAACGTCTTCGGACAGCGCTGGCTCTTCGGCTTTGAAACGGAGGTGAGCACTGCAACCCTAGAGTCGGATTCGACTGGCTTTCGAGCAAGGGAAACCTTTACCTTTTAGTAAAACAGTAACAGTGGGGTACTTACCAGTAAAGAGGAGAATGAGGCTCTGAGTCCGGAAACATCCTCTTGTGAGGAACTGACGCTGCCAACCCTTTCCCTGTCTGTGACTTTGATCATTGTTGGGAGGGAAAAGCACTTTGAAATAAGTACCGATCCAAACTGAATGAATTCAGCCCTCCCCGAACACTTCTAAGTTTCTCAATGTCTCCCCTCCTCCTGGAAGGATCTCCATGGAGATGCGATGGATTGTTTTCTTCAGAACAGACACAGTCTACCATAGAGCTGAAGAGGTCACAAAGACAGGAGGTCAGCTGACTTGCCCAACATTCCACAGAAGGGGTTCAGGGCAAGCATCTAACAGCCCCGTGCTCCTCTGTGCCGAAAAGCTCCACTGGAGGTGGAGCCAGCTCCAAAATGGCTGCTGCAGTGGGTGGGGCCAACCACAAATTGTCAGGGATAGAGCCAGTTTGGTGTAGTGGTTAAGGACTTAACCACTCCTGGTTAAGAACTGGGTTTGATTCACCACTCCTCCACTTGCAGCTGCTGGATGACCCTTGGCAAGCCGTAGTTTGGTCAGAGCTGTTCTCTCAAGGACAGTTCTGTCAAGAGCTCTCTTAGCCCCTCTTAGCCCCACCTACCTCACAGGGTGTCTGTTGTGGGGAGGGGAAGGGAAAGGAGTTTGTAAGCCGCTCGGGGACTCTGAGTAAAGGGCGGGGTAGAAATCCAATCTCCTCCTCCTCTTCCTCCTCTTCTTCTCCTCTCAATTTCCGGTCTTCTTCTTCTCATATACAGCTCTAACAGTTACTCTTCAACATTTCAGGCAGGAACTCTGTTTTTCCTTTTAATCTGCACAGCCAATCAGCAGCCTTGCTGGGGAAAAGCCTCGCCTAGCCCTGCCCACTTTCTACAAGCACTTGGCAGGTGCCAGGAAAGGTGTTGGGTGGGTGCAATGGTGCCCACAGGCCCCAGGTTCGGGACCCCTGCTGTAATCCATCTTCCATATGAGGAATTCAGTTACTCTGCAATAGCATACCTAGTGTCGGTTGGGAAGTCGAGGCAGCGTTTGTTCTTCAGGTTAATGATCTGTTGGGAAAACAGAATTGTCCTGATAATCTGCCATCAGCAACTGAAAATGAGCCTCACCAGCATATTATTGTTATTGTTATTTAGGTTTTTACCCCACTCTCCCATCCGAGGTCGGCTCAGGGCGGCTTATATAAGAACAGAATAAAATCCCAACAGTACAGTATAAAAGTATAACATCTGTTAATACCAGGGGTCATTTCCTGCAGGAGCGCACAGGAGCGGAGCTCCAGCAGTAAAGAGCCCAGGGGGCGGGCACATGCAACAAGCCCCACCTCCTGCTCCCAGCAGCCCTCAGTCAGAGCAAAAAGCAGCCAGGTAAGCTGCAGAGGCTCCCCCTGGTCCAAAACAGTCCAGTGGCACTTTTAAGACCCAGTTTTATTCAGGTACAAGCTCTCCCTTCTCTGCATGTTCCCCCCTCCCCAACAGCTAGCAATCCAAAACAGTCCAGTGGAGCCTGAGCGGTGGGTGTTGCCTTCTGACACACTTCTGGTGATGCCAGGGGGTGTGGCATATGCAA